TATTAAGATTACTGGACATGCCATCTCAGGCATGTACCTTCTGGGCATCATGATCTTTAGACTTTGGCTTGCATCTTGTTGCTGATGCTGAATTTTCATCTAATCCCCATCTTCTCTCTCCTCAGTCCTCTGGTTATAAATGTATTTCTCTGATATGACCCCAGATCATCATCACCAACCAAGTCCCCCAAACCCCCAAATTCTATTTCTCATTTGTCTCAACTCTTATTTTACTCTACCTTTTAATATAATAACTATTACAAGTATGTGTGTGTGTATATATATATACTTTTGAGGCCTATTGGCTAAGAAAGTTCTATTCAATCATAGATGGAAAGATAGTGAGTTTGTTACATACATCTGGGTCTGACACTTGCCAGTGACATCTTCCTGTAAGTGACTATGCATTGCCAAGCTTAAAGTGCTGATGTGTGATAAATGTTCAAATATTTCTAGGATGAACACTGCATTTTGAAGCAGCTATGATATGTGCAAAGGGAAAAACAGGTAAGAGTAGACACGGGAGAGGAGAAAGAATGACACAAATCAACTTAATATCACTTACAGTTATTAAGGGCAGCCTTAGTCACATTAGCATTTTCTAAAGTGCAAAACTATGTGCTTCTTATTCACCATTGAAATATAAATATAGTATTACAAACATAAGAATATTGGTATCATTTGCTTTTTTACTATCATCTGTAAATTTCTAAGAAATGATTTAAACCTTATAAAGTAAATCATGAAGTTATGTTTCTCACTTTCTAAATATTTAAGTTAGCCTATGCACTAACTATATCGCAGGTCCTCCCTCTTTTAAAGAAAATGTAAACACTTTCCTCTTACTCTCTATTAGCAAGTAGCAAAAAATGTATCCAAGAGAGTAATTAATGTCAACAATGACTATAAATCCTTTATTACTATAATTGAGGTTAATTAGAATGAGAGTTATTAGGTTGAATGCTGATTAATTGTTAAAAATATGTTTTCCCTCAAAATATATATTTGACTCAGTGACAAGAAACTGTGCTATCTAAAAAACATAAATTGAATCTCCTTCACATCTTACACTGTATTTAGTTGATAAGGAGACTCATTGTGCTAATGTTACAGGGAATAGAATTCTGAATCATCCTTCTAGGGAAAAGAAGTCTGGGCATGTGTTTTTCTTATAGGTGTAATAATCTGGAAAAAGAAAAAAACAAAACAAAAAACAAGAAATTCAACTCTGGTCTCTGTGGTCTAATGATAAAAGCTTATATAGTAAGAATCTGGGAGTCAGGCTATTCCTGGAATTATTGATTCTGAAGAATTTGAGCTTTACAAAGAATTGTGTTCTTATTAGTCACTAGTTCTGTGTCTGTATTATTAGTTCTGTTCTTACTAGTTCTGCGTCCCTTTCTGCTGGACAGTGTTACTGCCGGACACCCCTTGAAGAGATGCTTCCTTAAGGATTAGAAAAATGAAGAGATAAAAGATTTGCACCTCCCAATTTTATATGTCACTAATTCTAAATCACCCATTTTCTTGGTTCACATTGGCCTTGGCACAATGACAATATATTATGTTATCTCTAATAATTTATGAATGTACACTTTAGTTCTTGGAATATGAAGATTGGGTAAATACGAGTATTCTTTTAATTTATAAAATGTAAGAATTGCAGCAGCACTTTAATGATTTCTGTGGCTGCTGTTTCAAGACTGCTTTTTTAGGAATTTTATTTCCACTCTCTGGTCCTCAGCACTTTCCTAGGTGGCTCAGCGATAAAGAATCTGCCTGCCAGGCAGCAGACGTGGGTTTGATCCCTGCACCCGGAAGATTCCCTGGAGGAGGAAATGGCCACTCTCTCCAGTATTCTTGCTTGAGAAATCCCATGGGCAGAGGAGTCTGGGTGGCTACATACAGTCTATGGGGTCGCAAAAGGACAGGACTGAGCAACTAAACAAGTCCTCAGCAGATGCTAGAGTTAGGGACCTGCTGTTTTTTTGCAAGTGGTCTGAGATGGCAAGTCACCATTACTTACAGGCAATTTGGTTTTCATTACAAATTAATGAAGTGATAATTGCTCTCTGCAACCTTTTTATGCACAGAGCATGCTGGTGCTGTTTGCATTATCTTCTTGCAATTTGTACGTCTGCATTCAAGGGCTTGTGATAGCTTGCCAAATTAGCATTCAAAGGAAAATGTCAGACTACATATATATCTCCATAATTAAAATCATATTTTACATCAAATTGTGAAAATCTTTACATGGTGTCATTTCTGTGTCATTTCTGTTTGGTGTCTAACAAAATGCTGTCCAGAGCAGGAGAAAATTGCAACTGATTCATCAAAGTACAAACTTATCTATTCTGATAAGGAAATTCTGACCTAAAATTTTTGAAGTCAGTTGGCTAATTTTTAAATATGCCTATCATCTAATGTTCTGTAAAATGCCCACAGAAAGCATTTATTCTCTGGAATTTTTGTTAGCTCTATACTTCACAATACCATCACAGAATAAATGTAATACTAATAGAGAATATGTAACATAATAATACTATTGAACATTACAATTTTTTTGAGCTTCAACTCAGTTCATAGGTTTTAAATTTTCTGATATTAAAGTTATACGCTAATTTTGGTTTTGAATGTGACTTTACTTTATAGGCACCTCAGTGTAAAATCCTCAGAAATGAGACTCTCATATATACTTTTGTTCTTAAAAGCTCTCCATATAATATATTTATAGAGTGGTTGTTTGAAAATGATAAATTGGTGATTATTAAAAACACATTATATTTTCTTGTATATTATTCTAGGGTTTTCTAAAATAACAAAATGGGTTCCTTTGTTGGATGTTAGTCATGACAATAAGGACAAGCCAATTTTGCCTCCAGAAAATGAGTGCTTCTCATATATTCCAGACCCTCAATGATCCAAGTTACTGAAATAAGTGGTGCTGTTTAACTATTTGCTTTTGTTTTGCTCTTAGGTTGGTAGGAGAGCTAAGGACAATAAAGAGTTTTAATACTGTGTTTCTCACGTTGGTAATGGGGCAGGGTGCAGCTTGGATTTGATAATTCAAACACTCTAATGTAAATAATTATTTTTTTGGCTAATGAGGTTCAAAGGCCAGATAAATGCCATATTTCTTTACTTTTGGTTATTGTCAATTTAAAAAAATAGCATTTTATCTCACTTTGCAACTAGAGTTGTGGGTTGGAATTCCTATGTGTATTTAATAAATTTGAGTAGAAAATACTTTAATATATTTTAAATGCCATTGATTTAGTTAAAAATTATTTAAAACTTATTCCTTATGAAAACAAGTAACTCTTTTAATGGAGATTTTAGGAAACCATTTATAATGGGCATCACAAGGATTTCATTTATTTATTTACAAAGTTAAAATATATTCTATAATATGAACTTTATTATTTCCTTGAATTATTACTAACTGTATTATAAGAAAACATAATTTTTATGCATTTTATTCATCTTTTATTCCCAAAATGTGAAGTTGTGTGCTGCATATTATAAAGGATATAAAGAGCTCTAAAATCTAACAACTGTATATGAAACAATGTTAAACTAACCTAATGATGTATCATGAATTAAATCTAAAAATGAAAAAGATATTTAATAAGTGTTATACAAAACAGGAAGTGTCTTAAGCACATTAAGGTTATGGGAGGCATCACAGGGAAATGAGCAAAGACAAATGCTCTTTTTTTATACCATAGCAAAAGAAGACCCAACATTTCTTTTGAAAACCTGAAAAAGAGTTCACAGAGACAAGAACAGTATCTGCATAAGTGAAACTTAGAATTCTCTAATCTCAATTCAAACTTTTAGAAAAAAATAAATGTAAGTTGGGAATCGTTTTTGGAAAAGCTCAAATGCCAAACTGAAGAGTTTGAAGTTCTTACATGAGTAATGGGGAGCCATAGAAGATTAGAACTCTAATCTGATGTGGAAAATGATGTATTTTCCTAGCACCAATAAGATAATTGGGCATGGTATAAACTGAGTGTAGACACAGGCATAATAGTTAGATACAATAATAGTTTTAGAATCATAAATAACACAAACAATGTGATGCTAACTTGAAAGCTTCTCAAAACCTGTATAAAGATCAAAGAAGCAGTGCTTAACTTTTCTAAAAAGTCTTGAAACTTTTTGAGTGTATTTACAATGAAAAAAAGTTTTATTACCATCATAACCCTAACTGCTATAACAACAACTTAAGTAGCCGTGTATTTCTTGCATGTGGAAAATTTAACATGGGTAAAAGATATTAAGAATTGAAATGTTCACTATACTTAAATCTTCTGTTCTACACGTATAACTATTTGTTGGATTTTGAGGAGATGGGAAGGAGACATGTTCATGTTTTTACTTCAGAAACCAAAGTTCTCCATCATGTATTTCTTGAAATGACCAAGTATGTTAATAAATGTCATGCATAAAGATACCTGGTAATGAAATCATTTAGATTCACTTTGTTTGTGATGTGCTGATTTTACCAAAGTCTGACCCAAATTGGGGAAAGTTTAATAAAGAGAAACGCTAGGCAGTGGTATTTTTATTTTGCTTTTTAAAGAGAAAACCCAAAAAAAATCCCCTAAAATATACAACAAAATAATTTTTATCATGTTATTAGAGATGACTGACTTGACATTTTTATCCTAGGATGTTTGTCTAGGTCCAATCAATTGCTAAGCAACTTCTTCCTATCACACAAATTCCAATAAAATTCAAATGTGTTCATCAAAATTCTGAATTATTTTGTGTCAATGAATTCAGAGAACCTTGTAAATAATAAAACCTGCAAACAAGAATGTTACAGAGTTGCTGCACATCTTGATCTTTAGTGAGCAACAGTGAAGTTTCTGTTCATTTGTTTTGTATTTCCTGTGATGCCATTAACACCTTCATCTTGTATTCGCAAATATTCATCATGCTTAACTCATTAATTCTGCCTTTCTTTTTTTCTTCTTCTTTCATTCTTCAAGTGGGAAGAGATCAGTGGTGTTGATGAACATTACACACCCATCCGGACTTACCAGGTGTGCAATGTCATGGATCACAGTCAAAATAATTGGCTGAGGACAAACTGGGTCCCCAGGAACTCAGCTCAGAAGATCTATGTGGAGCTAAAGTTCACTCTTCGGGACTGCAATAGCATTCCATTGGTTTTGGGAACTTGCAAGGAGACTTTCAATCTGTACTACATGGAGTCTGATGATGATCATGGAGTCAAATTCCGAGAACATCAGTTTACAAAGATTGACACCATTGCAGCTGATGAAAGTTTCACGCAAATGGATCTCGGGGACCGTATTCTTAAACTCAACACTGAGGTTAGAGAAGTAGGTCCTGTCAACAAAAAGGGATTTTATTTGGCTTTTCAAGATGTTGGTGCATGTGTTGCCTTAGTGTCTGTGAGAGTGTACTTCAAAAAGTGCCCGTTTACAGTGAAGAATCTGGCTATGTTTCCAGACACAGTACCCATGGATTCCCAATCTCTGGTGGAAGTTAGAGGCTCTTGTGTTAACAATTCTAAGGAGGAAGATCCTCCTAGGATGTACTGCAGTACAGAAGGTGAATGGCTGGTACCCATTGGCAAGTGTTCCTGCAATGCTGGCTATGAAGAAAGAGGTTTCATGTGTCAAGGTAAGAGTCTTCTTTATTTTCCCCAGAGTGGTACTTCTTACTTGTGAGTTTATGGTATAGTAATTTAAATAAATGAAATCAGCCTGAATTCACTTAGCAGCAAAATGTGACTCAAACTAAACAGAGCCTATTTATAGACTAAATTTATCCCACTTGATGTGTTGATTCATAATTTTTGTACAAATATTAGCATATTTGATTATGTGGTGCTAGCCTATGTACTACTAGACCAATTGAAAGGGGAAAAAAAGTCTGTGTCTCTTTTATGTAGAGGGAAGAAATACCGTTGGAACTAAGCTAATCTAACAGAATTAGATTCTGTACTATTTATGGTTGTGCTCATCAATCTCATAGCAATACATAATTCATTGTGATAAAATATATTAATAGTGTCTCTTCAGTGATATCTGTGCATAAAATATGGATTTACTTATAAAACAGTAATGTTTTAATGAAAAAATATTTTATTTAAAAATCCAGGGTTGATGCTTCAGTTTTTGGTATACAGAGGGATAATTTAAATTATTTAAAATTTTTCTCAGTAAGTAAAACCAAATAAGAGATCATCTTTTCCACAGAAGATTATATCAGATGATAAATTCCACTTAATCCCAAAGTTTGGTATTTAGCATTAGGCAAGGTTTAGTGTTTAAGAACACGCAAAAATTATCATTAAAATTTAAAATGTTTCAATACATGGGAGAACTTAAATATATAGCCTTGGGAATCTAGTCTGTTTTAATACCTTTTCTTGCTGTTAACTTAATCAAAAGAATTGAGTTTGGTACTCTACTTGTGGCCATTTAGTAAGTCTCAAGTTCATGTGAAAGAGATGAATCAACTTTATACATAAATTGACCTTTCTCAGAATCTGAACAGGACATAGCATTTTGCTTTTAACTGTAGATAGTTTATAGATTTTTTTTTTTTAATGACAGCAAATGATACACCCAGTCTGATACTTCTCCATGTTATTTAGATCCTTGGCAAGAGCCATCAGAATACTGTTACTAAATATGGTTTTGAAAATTCTAAACTGGAAACAGCATACTAGCTACTATTTGCTTGGAGAGAAGTCTCAATAGCCTTTATATTCCACTTGGAATTATATTTTATCACTGTGGTATTGTTTGTGTTATCTTTGTGGGATTTATTTTAAATAAAATAATAAAAGCTTAGACCAGGACACCTTGGAGGAAGAAATGGCAACCCTCTACAGTATTCTTGCTGAGAAAATCCCATGGACAGAGGAGCCTCATGGGCTATGTTCCAAGGGGTCACAAAGAGTTGGATGCAACTGAGAGACTTGAGTACAGATCAGGAAAAATTTAAAAACTGACTATTTCCTCCAGTTTGTTTTCTACTGACAGTCTCTGATATCCGCACCAAGAAAGGAGTAAGTGTGCCTCTGTCTCTATCATTATCAGTATGTGCCGAACTATCTCACACAATTTTTTCTATTGAGCAAGAACCTAATCATTGTTTAGATTTTAAATAATTTTTATATGATACTTTGTGTCTTATTTAAAGATATAATAGAAAAATGTGTCAGCCAGAAAAATAGGATCACATAAAATGTTAATATAAATAAATAAAACATGCACATACTTAACCTAAATCACATGCTGTCTTGAAACAAACTTTACTAAGAAGAATTTTAAAAAAGAAAGTGACATTAAATTGTATTCAAAAAGTTTACAGTAGATTCAGAATTGCTTCTGTATTTTAAATGTATTTTAATTTACCAAACCACTTCTTTAAAGTAACTATTATGTTACTCATTGATACTCTATGGCAAAATTACTCTTAGAGATAATATTTGTGTCAAAGTTTTATTTCCTTGATTCTTGTAATTTATTATGCTGAAGACATTCATAGCACCTCCTTGACATAGTGATGCTATATTATCAGACTTTTTCAACATTTAAAAATACTAGTTGCAGCATTAGATGCATATGCATAATAACAACTTATTTGAAAAAAATATACTGAATAAGAACCAAATCTGGTAGAATTAGAGATAGAAGATAAAATGGGATATGATTGGAATTTACAAGTGTAATGACTTTTCAGTAACGTAACTTGAAGGTGCAGCTTGTTCTTAGGGGTTATATCTTCCTGTTTGCTTATGTTACCAGGTGAAGTTTAGTTCAGTTCAGTTCAGTTCAGTCATTCAGTTGTGTCTGACTCTTTGTGCCTTCATGGAATGCAGCACGCCAGGTCTCCCTGTCCTTCACCTACTACTAAATGTACTCAAACTCATGTCCATTGAGTCGGTAATGCCATCCAACTATCCCATCCTCTGTCGTCCCCTTCCCCTCCTGCCTTCAGTCTTTCCCAGCATCAGGGTATTTTCAAATGAGTCAGTTCTTCACCTCAGATGGCCAAAGAAATGGAGTTTCAGCTTCAACATCAGTCCTTCCAATGAATATTCAGGATTGATTTCCTTTAGGATGGACTGGTTGGATCTCCTTGCTGTCCAAGGGACTCTCAAGAGTCTTCTCCAACACCACAGTTCAAAAGCATCAGTTCTTCGGCACTCAGCTTTCTTTATAGTCCAACTCTCACATCCATACATGACTACTGGAAAACCATAGCCTTGACTAGATGGACCTTTGTTGGCAAAGCAATGTCTCTGCTTTTTAATATGCTCTCTAGGTTGGTCATAACTTTTCTTCCAAGGAGTAAGCGTCTTTTAATTTCATGGCTGCAATCACTATCTGCAGTGATTTTGGAGCCCTCATAAAATAAAGTCTGTCACTGTTTCCACTCTTTCCCCATCTATTTGCCATGCAGTGATAGGACCAGATACCATGATCTTAGTTTTCTGAATATTGAGTTTCAAGCCAACTTTTTCACTCTACTCTTTCACAGTCATCAAGAGGCTGTTTAGTTTTTCTTTGCTTTCTGCCATAAGGGTGGTGTCATCTGCATATCTGAGGTTACTGATATTTCTCCCAGCAATCTTGATTCCAGCTTGTACTTCATTCAGCCCAGCATTTCTCATGATGTACTCTGCATATCAGTTAAATAAGCAGAGTGACAATGTACAGCCTTGATGTACTCCTTTCCCTATTTGGCTTCCTCTTATTTCATAGTAAAAGTAATTTTGTATATTCCAATTATTAGAGGATGTGTCAAGGTATTCTACTTCATGCTGATTTACATGTAGTGTTGAGTCTAAATCAACTGTATATTAGCAATTTTTTTAATATGTCAGTTTAAGTGCATAGTCTACTATGTCTTAAAATTCAAATACACAATCAATTAATTTACAGCCTGTAATAAAATAGGCCAGTGTGGCTTGAAGCTTGTAATTTTGCTTTTGTTGTCAGTGGTGGTGCTGGTGTTTGTTATGGTTTCCTTTTTTAATTTAAAAAATCTGATTGGTTTTTAAGCTTGTGAAGTAGTCAGGGTTTGCTATGACTCACAAATCATTGTTTTATCAGCAGCGCTTCAATTCAGGTGCCCAAAGAAATGGTATTACTTAGAATAGATATAGATGAAAAGATAACTAAACACATTTCATGTATTTCATGAGCTTATTTTTGTTTTGTTTCATTTTACAGAAGGATGGAACAATACCTTAACATACATATGTGGCTAGATTTTAAACACCTCAGGGTAATTTTATAACACAATGTTCAGCAAACAGAGGTTTACAGTTTTCTAAAACAGAGGAAAATAAGACTCAGTCACTTTATTTCAACAAATGTTTAGAGAGAATCTACTTAATTATAAGAAGCATAGTAAGAATGCAACAAAGTTTTTAAAATATGCATTAAGCCCTTATTGGATGCCAGAAACTATGCTCATTTGATAAGTTATGCCCATGAGTTATCTTATTTATCTCTCAGAATAGCCTATGAGTACATCCTATAATTAGTTCCACTTTTTAAATGAGGAAGTTTAAAAAAAAAAGTTTTGAAAGATTAAATGTCTTGCCTTAGGTCCTTTAGGAGTGTTGAACTTGAGATCTGAAGCCAGGCAGTCTGATATCGAATGTTGCAGTTGAATCCTCAACCCACACTACTTCCCCATTTTTTTAGTCCATTGGTGGCAGAGACCAGGAAACCCCACAAGGACCCTTATTCTACTGAAGTTAGAGTATTGTATATTAAAGGATGAGTAGGACCATACAAAACTGGCACAAAGTAACCAAGAATCTGTGAATATAAGGTCCATCTATTTCAGCTTATTTATCACAGCTTTCTGTTTCTAGACTTTCAAGAAAGAAGAATTACTAGACAAAATGCCATGGGAAGACTAAGATTAGCTCAGGTGATATCTATCAAAATCTGGATAAATGAGTTGTCAAGCAACTTAGATATGCCAAAAAGTATAGCAAATTTAGTTCAATATCTCTAAACATCTCTAAGTTCTAAATAATAGTTTACCAGACAGTGGGGAAACAGAGATAAATAAGTTAGTGTACCTCCCTTCCAGGAGCTTGCAATCTAATATGAAAGACAGATAAATAAATGAATAATTTTAATACAACACACACCAATAAATCTTCTACTAGGTACAAACCTTCTTGGCAAGGAAGCAGAAAGAGAGATTAATTTAGAGTATTTCAAACTTAATAATGGAAATTGTTCATTAATAGTGAGAAGCTTCTGCATTGAGAGTTTTGAACCCATCATTATTGTGCTTTTAAACTTTTGGGTAGGGAGAAAGGGATAACTATCTTACCCAGCTTATGCATTCCAGAAGGAATGGTTTATAATTTGTTAATCAAGATATTATCCCCAAAATCCCAAATGTCTAGAAGTCCCATTAAGTTTTGTGTTCTGAGCTTACTCTTATAAATTCTTATAAATCTAAATTTCATAAGTAGGTCATTTTCTGATGTTAGTAATGATGTACTCTAAATTATCTATTCCCCTCTAGCTGGATATTTGGGATAAAGTTCTAAATGATGAAAATGAGACAATCTCTGATAGGAAAAATATTTTGTAGACATAAGGCTCATAGATTTCAGAAATATAAATAAAACC